ATGAAAAACCTTCCACTACACATACTATACATATACCATTTTATATGTACACAAATAAAGATTACTTTGGCTTCAAGAAAGATGAAGTGAAAATAGATCCCCATAGTAAATTTACATTAGTATTGCCTCCAGGATCAGAGTGTAAAGAGTATCAACCTGAAGAACTGTAAGTAAATTTCAATTTCTAGTTTTTCAGTATAGATTATAATTTTTCTTAACACACTAAATAAATATAATTGTTTATTTTAGTAATAATATTGAAGAAGATGTAACAGCCTGGGATCAAGGAAATATGTGGCCTTTTACATGTTACAGTCCAAGAAATAGAAATTGTTTAACATGTTTCAAAGATATATCTCCAGAAGAATTACGATGGGGTATGATTGAAGCTGAACGTTATGGAACAGTACTTCCATACGTAAGTATTATATTTATAAATTTTTGTTTCATTAAATTATTTCTTACATTTTAAATTATTTTAAAAATCAAAATATTATTTATTGACCAAAAACATTTATATGTGAAACTAAATTTTGCTGAAACTGTAAAACAGCCATAATGCAATGTTGACTAAAGCATTAATCTGATTTTTGCTAAAAGCAAGTTCTTTACTTTGCTAAGAAAAATGAGCAAGATTTTTTTATCTTGCTATTTTAAGTGAAAATTTTCCTACATTGACTGAGATAACTAGAATAAATCTATTAATTGTTATTGGAGCTCTAGAAAATTGTTAAAAGAAAATACTAAGAACTTGTTCAGATTCAAAAAAGGATTATTATAATAATAATCATTGTTTGATTAACAAATCTATAAGCATTATCATGAGTGCTCTCATGCCCTGCTGCTTACAAGTGAAATACAATACAGCTAGTTCAGGGAGGCACAGAAAGCATTCCCAAATAAGTAGAAATGAAATTCATAATTGGTTTTAAGAAATGATGTAGAGAGTTTTATTAGACAGATAGTGAAACCTTCATTAATGGACACTCTCCCAAATAGTGGGGCACCTCTACTTAATGGATATTTTTACAATCCCCAGACCCTTCAAATAGGACATCTGTTATATTCACCTCTAAATAATAGATGCCGTCGTTTATAATCAACCTTACAAAAACAATGTCCTGCCTTCAATATTTGTAAAGAATTAGTTATGTATGAAATATTTTAAAATGAAAACAAATAATCTGTTCAAATACTCTTTCAGATTATGAATTTTGACCATAGGTGTCAAATAAAGACTAGCTTAAAATAGGAATAGGGAAGGAGGACAGGTTATAAAACATCAAACAATATTTTTTATGTTAGATAAGTTTAATCTGATTAAGTTGTCAATCACCATTTGTCATCATATACATCAATGTTATTAAACTTCTGTCTTATTGTTGGAATTAAGCTTATGATACCCAAAAACTATAATCTTTTCCAGTTACATTTGACAAGAACCGTAATATAATAGTAACAAAAAAGAAACTTAAGAGCATAAATGATGTCATAAATGCAAGAAAACCAAATATCTTCCCACATTTTAAAGTGGTCGGTAAATCACCTTCATAACACAGCCTTTGAACTTTCACCAAACAAATAGTGTTGTCATAACCATTTTAACAGCTTTGCACTTTAATTACACTTTAATGACCACAAAGGTCATTAAAGTGTAATTTTTAATAAATCAATTACTGAATAAAGAAAAAAAATTTTTGAAAAGTTACACCTACTTGATAACTACAGAGCAGACAAATCTATGTATTGATTTTTATAAGTCACTTAGATCATAAATGATGTTATAAATGTAACAATTCAAACCATATTAACCACTCTTTGAAGTGGATAGCAAATCACCTTCATAACACGACATTCGAACAAGATTCAATTAAAACAAGATTTTTACAGCTGAAAAAATAAATAATATGTTGCAGTCAAAACCAGTTTTTAGTTAAGACGCGTTATAACTAGTTGAAAATAGTTTATACTGGATGTCTTTGTTACATCTAGAATTTCCTAGTTATAAATAGAATTTACTGCTGTGCATGTTTGGATTTTAGATAAAACTAGTTTTAACTTTGAACATTAGTTAAAACTAATTTTAGCTACATAAATAGGTTTGGGGGAAATAAATAAAGTCACGATTGGGATTAAAACATTTGTATTCTTTAATAGAATATTTATTGGAAATATTGACTATACATACGTGTTATTAAAATTAATTAAAGCGATACGAAATTAATCATACACTATAGGAATATTTTTAAGGAAAATCACAGAGCCATGTTGGCAATATTAACTCTAAAACAACATCAGTAATATTAATTAAAGTCATACAAAAATAATCATTCAATAAAGGAACATAAATATAAANAGTCTTCCCTCTGCATGGAAGTTTATGGTTAAGAAGTTTAATAAGGGCTCTAACCAATCAATATAGTAGTTTTATTGAATGTCTTAGTAATTGCATTTATTAATACTTATATATTCATTTGTTGCATTTTTATATATTTTTTGTTTTTATATTTTTATTTTTGTTTTATGTTGGTTATTTAATATTTTGTTTTAATTGTACCTTATTTAATTTTGAATTTGAATTTTGTATTCCATTGATGGAATTTTAATTCAAATGTATTCTAAACCTGAAGATGGCCTGTGAATCAGGCTGAAAACGTTTGTTTGTTTCAAATAAATTATATTTCTCGGCAAGAATAAGGTGTTAAGTATATGTATATGTATAGTGATTTGCTGAGTACTTTATGATATCATAGGGTTATGTTTCAGAAGTTAGCAAAAGTATACTATTCTTTTTTGTTACTAAGAGAAATATGTTTATTAAAGCAATTAATAATTTATTTCTAATCAATAATTAATTAAAAATTACAATTAAAAGTATTTTTATCATAAAAATTTTTTATGGATGACAAAATAAAAGTATGCTATTAATTGAAAATTTGTTCTAGCAGCTAGTATTTGTTCAAGTACTGAGCAATTTTTCCCCCAGAATTTGTGTTTGAATACCAAATTGTTCAAGTACCAAGATATCAATGTACTGTATTTTGTTAGTCAGTTTTATGAATGATTGCTTATTCACAGTTAAAAAAGCTTAATAACACTTATCTAAAAATGTTTAAATAAATTTTATTAAATATGAAGATTAATCTATAAAAAGCAAAACACAGTGACAGTCCTAAAGGCTAAAGTTTGAAAGCAACGATAATGACACCCAGTTGATAGGAAAGCTAGGACCAGGAAGAAAAAATTTCACTATCAGTTTTAAAGTAAACCTGATGAAAGATACAAAAGAAGTTAAAAATTTCAATATTCTAAAGTCCATGGGCAAATTTGAGAAAACATACATGATTACTTGAATAAAAAATATTAAATAATGGAGTTTGCATTTAAGTCACGAAATTTTGTACAGAGGATTTCCCAAATTCTTGAACTGTGTTACAATGAAACTGGAAATTGTGCATCAGAAATGTACAGGGATACCTGTAATTGTATTTTAATTCTTTAGTTAAAAAAGCAAAAGTATATCTGTTATTCTGAACAGGAAGAATTTATTGATTCATTATGAAAAGGTCACAAGTAATAAAGAATTAAAGTAGAAATATCTTCAAATATATTGGCATATTTTTGGAAATATAATTTTTAAAAATTCATGATGCACATTTTCACAATTCACATTTAAATAACTTTTTTATTTTTCTCATAAAAATTGTTTTGTTTTGGTATTGACAAATTCAGATAAGTTTTTAAACAGTTTGAATGATTCCAAGTATTTGTTGCACATTTTATTCCACAAGTTATTCATTCCACATTTGTTCTGTAATTATTGCTTCTAACAAGTTGCTTCTAAAATTGAAATTTATAAAATTACCAGTAAAATATGTTGAATATGTTATTATTTGCTATTTCATTTTTAATAAGAAATCATTTATGTTGATTATTTCTCTTAAGTATAAATAATGAAAAAAGAGAGCCTATTTTATTCAAAAGAAAAAAATTATAAAATAAAAGCTGGAGATTCAATTCAAATGTAACTGTATAAAATCATAATTTATTCAGTTTAGAAATTTATTAATAGATTNAATTATTTTTTTAAAGCACGATTGGTTATAAAATTAATATGAAATTCAATAGTATTATTAATAAATGTTGTGAATGTAATGCTCATTTTTTAATAAGTAATAGATGTGTAGATATATTTTTAATTTATAAATAGCGAGATTGAGGCCATGCAATTTCATTGCTTTTCTTTCCTTTTAGCTCCATGGGAACAAAGAAAGTTTCCAGAGCCAGCTCATTTATTCTTTACATTAGTCTTTTATATTCATTTTATATTGTTTTTAGTATTATATATAGTGTTTAGTATTAAACATTGTATTTATTCTCTACAAAATGTACTTTTGGTATGCATTTCAGTGTCTAGAACGAATTAATTATATTTACGTTGATTCATATGGAAATAATTGCCTCGGCTTTCGTCGGTTTCAGATTTTACCGATTGTTTTCGGATGGATTATCGACGAAAACCGATGCATCACTGTACAGTATTATGCGAATTAATATAAAAATAACTTAAAATTAAAGTAAAATTTGTTTATTTTTGGTCGAGTGTTTCCCTTTTCCTGTTTACTCTGTTAAAATGACCTCGTTTAACGCTGTTTCGTTTTGTCGTCTAGGGACGCATCCCCCGCGATAAGCGGGGTATTACTGTAGTTGTCTTTTTCGTATTACAGTATTCTGATAATGGGATTTAATTAGTTGTCTAACCTTTTGTTATTTTAGTTTTTAAATTCGAAATTATAAAATAATCATATAGAGTATAAAATGTTTACTTCTAAATTATTGCAATGCCTTTACATGATATATATCAGCTTTCCTAACAGTGCTATGAAATAGTGTTCAAACATTATAATATTAAAAATTGCATTATACAGTCATACGTAAATTTAACGCCGCCGATTGTGTGTCTTTGAAATTGGTACTTAGAGGCAAACGTTATATGTATTACAGGCGAAGTCAGATATAGAATGCCAGAGCAGGAGGTAGGTTGTTCCGGGTCGGAACTGTTCCGCATTAGGGTTGTTTCATACTATGACCGACTGGTCCGACCCGATCGATCCTATAATTAGTATTTAGTATTAAATACTAATTATAGTATTTAATACTAAATACCGACTAGTATTAAAAGCATTCACACTGAGTACGACTATATGTCGGTGGCCGACTCGTAAGAACCAATCGGAACGCGTGTTACAGCTCAATACACTAGCCAATCATGGTAAGTTTTTCAATTTAAACAGAAAACATGACCGTCATGGAAACCGATCGTGCATTTCGAATTGTTTTAAACCATATTTCATTCGTATCCAGAAATTGTAGTTCTGAATATGCTATAATTTATCGTCAGGCCATATCTTCGGCAACAATATCTATTGGAATATTTTATAAACAGCACAGAGGTTATAGACAGTTAACGAATCTCTTTGATAAACGTTTTGATAGCAATTTTTTTAAATTTTCGAGAAAAAAATACATAACGCTTTCAATAAGCTTAAACAAGTGTATCATGAATAACGATGTGGAAAATGTCAAACACTTTATGACAGAAATAAAGAGGAGTGCAACAATTTTGCTGACATATAAGAAGTCAGCATGAAAAGAAAGCATTGGGTTCGTTCCTAGCTGCGAAGCTCTTATTGGCTGTAGCTCACCGACTGCTCAGACCCGACTACAAATATATTTAACTTTTCTAATCTGTCCGACTGGAACGACTAGTCGGTCGGCAGACTGCTGTTGCCATGGCAACACGACTTGGAGTTGGTCCAGTCGGTCATAGTGTGAAGCAGCCCTTACGGTTCCAGTTGGAACTTTCAACTTGTTCTTCATTAATAAATTCAAAAATAAATTTTCTTTGGCTTTCACAGTATTTTTGGTATTATGCGACCAAAAATACTGTTAAAGCCGAAAAAAAATATTTTTTACGTTTTAGTACATTTATCTGAATAAAAAGCGTTACTTTATAATGTTTTTTATATTTTCCAACTAATGTCATCTGGCGATTGACTTGACTTTTTCTGTAGTAATATTTTTGTATACATACCATTTATCTAAAATTTCAATTTTAATTTATATTCATGTTCCTATAAATATGGAAATGCGAATATAGAAGAATTAATAATTAGTAAATGCTAATTAATTATACACATTATTCAAATTAATTCAAATAAAAATGAAAAGTAGTCCGCGATTCGTTTCGTTTATATATGAATTAATTTCATTGTTACTGCAGTAAGATCAAATAGACTTTAATCAATTAAAAAGGTGTTCAAGCAATCTCTATTCATAAAAGGACATAAAACTTTAAACTCTTACTTTTTCTCACAAATCAATATATCTTACATCTAAAAAAATCAATAATTCGTTGCTTCCGAACAAATAATACTTAGTCACGTGACTTAAATAAATTATAACAAAATATACAGATTTACATATATAATAAATTTAAATTATTAAATATAAATTAAATACTTAAATATATTTTAAATATATATACTGTATATTAAAAGCAAAGTGTTTCGTCCACGCCGCACACAAATAACATAAATTTAAAAATTAATTCGATTTACAATTTGAAAACTTTTAAATAACTTTTAAACAGTTTTAATTAATTGCCACTCTTTTTACTTCCCGGCTGTTGTAACAGAGGGAAAGTGTGGCGATCCGGCAAAAATGACCCTTTCCCCAGATTTTTACATTTTTGGACTTAGGACACCTTGAAACGTCGAGAAATGCAAAATAATTTGGGGGTAGTTTCTGTGTGCATGTGTGTTGGGGCGCACGATTTTGTTTAACCCCGTTTGAACTTGATAACTCCTGTACTTTTTTGTCGAAAATTTCTTAAATTTTGCAAATAGGTTTGTTTATTAGAAGGGTTGATGCTATTAAATTTTGGTGGTTAAAGATCGAAGGGATGGGAATGGGGGTCGTGTGTATCTCTAGTAGGATCGGACTTAATGACGATTTCATTCGTTATAAGCATTTACAAATTTTTTATAAAACCCATCCCTATCCTCAAAATTAAACTTTTATGAAATTTTATAATAGTTAAAAATATAAAATGTTTATAATAAAATATGGTAATAGATGGCACCACCAGAACTTTAAATGTTGGAAAGTTGAGCAACTCGTTGCTGGTTTATTTTGCTTTGCAATAAAATAAATATGTGTTTAATTTTTATCAACCTTTTATATTTTTATACCTGTGAGTAGTTGTCATAGGGGCACCAGTACACTGCTTTGCTCAGGGCCCATAATGCTGTTAATATGGCCCTGCCTCAAACATCTGATTTGTATTGATGTGCTAAAAATACAATAATGAGATTGTCAAAAAGTAAATCTCTTTGTGATGAGACAGTTCCAGAAGTAGTACATCAAGTAGTCATTATTCTGAGGAAAAAGTAAAATTATATATATATATGTTTATATAAATATTTTTCTATTTGTGTATAATAGAAAATAAATATGTAACATAACAATTTCTACTTTCAGTGGAAATCAAAAATTAACCATGAAATTAAAACAAAATTACATAAATATATTCTTAAAAAGTATTGGGGGTTAGCCTTGATCCCATGATATTCAGTGTAACAATAAAAAATACAAGGGATAAAAAATGAAAGTTTTCAATAATATCTTATGAAACAGATAATAAATATTTTTGCAATTTATTTCTGTAAAATAATTAGCAAATTATCTGTGAGTTATATAATAGAGCAAATTGTAAATCTACAAATAAATACAAATGTTTGTATATATTTGTGATAACCATATATCCTTTATTTTATTGTTCTGTCTTTTAGATTAATTTTTTCCTCCCTAAAATGGCCATTTTGTCCTTTATGTTGTGAATTGAAATAATAAGTCTATTGATTCCAGCCCACAACATCACTATTCAATTCACCAAATTTATTTTATGCATTTTATAAATTTTAATCAACCTGAACAGATTACTTAAATAACTGGGGCAGTGTTTTTTTTTTGGAAATGAAGGTAATTGATTGGGTAATACTATCAGAAATCCCTCTGTGAGCATGAATATGATTGAAAACATTTTGTTTATTTCCAGTTATAGTTTTTACATATACAAAAATTTAAGATTATAATAAAAGTTCAGTTACATAATGGGTGCCAACTCTATGGTGTCTTAGTCCCAAGTTAAAGGATAAAAATTATTAAAATTATTTATATCCTTCACTTTGGGGACCTGGCACCACTTAAAATATTTTTGGGTGGACTAAACTGGTTCTGGCCCAGAGTTGATGTCCTTGGTTGTATGTATATTTTAATTACCTTGTAAGTCATGCATCATAAATTCATTGTAATGAAACAAGTAAAACCAATAAAGTTTCATAATTCATTTTTATACAGTTAAGTAAAATTAAAGAAAAATATAATGTTTAATATAATATAATAATCTTTATTATAATAGATTTTAAAGTTTGAAAATTAAAAAAACAATTGAGAACATTTATTTGAACTTATTCAATGCAGTTTTTTACATTTTGTTTAAGATTTATTGCTTAAGTTAAATGAAATAAATAATTTTTCCATTACAGAAGAAAATTCTAAGCATCGATTTGGTCTGAATCATTTTGAAAAGTATCATTATGAAAATGAAAAACCTTCCACTACACAACATACTATACATATACCATTTTATATGTACACAAATAAAGATTACTTTGGCTTCAAGAAAGATGAAGTGAAAATAGATCCCCATAGTAAATTTACATTAGTATTGCCTCCAGGATCAGAGTGTAAAGAGTATCAACCTGAAGAACTGTAAGTAAATTTCAATTTCTAGTTTTTCAGTATAGATTATAATTTTTCTTAACACACTAAATAAATATAATTGTTTATTTTAGTAATAATATTGAAGAAGATGTAACAGCCTGGGATCAAGGAAATATGTGGCCTTTTACATGTTACAGTCCAAGAGATAGAAATTGTTTAACATGTTTCGAAGATATATCTCCAGAAGAATCACCATGGGGTATGATTGAAGCTGAACGTTATGGAACAGTACTTCCATACGTAAGTATTATATTTATAAATTTTTGTTTCATTAAATTATTTCTTACATTTTAAATTATTTTAAAAATCAAAATATTATTTATTGACCAAAAACATTTATATGTGAAACTAAATTTTGCTGAAACTGTAAAACAGCCATAATGCAATGTTGACTAAAGCATTAATCTGATTTTTGCTAAAAGCAAGTTCTTTACTTTGCTAAGAAAAATGAGCAAGATTTTTTTATCTTGCTATTTTAAGTGAAAATTTTCCTACATTGACTGAGATAACTAGAATAAATCTATTAATTGTTATTGGAGCTCTAGAAAATTGTTAAAAGAAAATACTAAGAACTTGTTCAGATTCAAAAAAGGATTATTATAATAATAATCATTGTTTGATTAACAAATCTATAAGCATTATCATGAGTGCTCTCATGCCCTGCTGCTTACAAGTGAAATACAATACAGCTAGTTCAGGGAGGCACAGAAAGCATTCCCAAATAAGTAGAAATGAAATTCATAATTGGTTTTAAGAAATGATGTAGAGAGTTTTATTAGACAGATAGTGAAACCTTCATTAATGGACACTCTCCCAAATAGTGGGGCACCTCTACTTAATGGATATTTTTACAATCCCCAGACCCTTCAAATAGGACATCTGTTATATTCACCTCTAAATAATAGATGCCGTCGTTTATAATCAACCTTACAAAAACAATGTCCTGCCTTCAATATTTGTAAAGAATTAGTTATGTATGAAATATTTTAAAATGAAAACAAATAATCTGTTCAAATACTCTTTCAGATTATGAATTTTGACCATAGGTGTCAAATAAAGACTAGCTTAAAATAGGAATAGGGAAGGAGGACAGGTTATAAAACATCAAACAATATTTTTTATGTTAGATAAGTTTAATCTGATTAAGTTGTCAATCACCATTTGTCATCATATACATCAATGTTATTAAACTTCTGTCTTATTGTTGGAATTAAGCTTATGATACCCAAAAACTATAATCTTTTCCAGTTACATTTGACAAGAACCGTAATATAATAGTAACAAAAAAGAAACTTAAGAGCATAAATGATGTCATAAATGCAAGAAAACCAAATATCTTCCCACATTTTAAAGTGGTCGGTAAATCACCTTCATAACACAGCCTTTGAACTTTCACCAAACAAATAGTGTTGTCATAACCATTTTAACAGCTTTGCACTTTAATTACACTTTAATGACCACAAAGGTCATTAAAGTGTAATTTTTAATAAATCAATTACTGAATAAAGAAAAAAAATTTTTGAAAAGTTACACCTACTTGATAACTACAGAGCAGACAAATCTATGTATTGATTTTTATAAGTCACTTAGATCATAAATGATGTTATAAATGTAACAATTCAAACCATATTAACCACTCTTTGAAGTGGATAGCAAATCACCTTCATAACACGACATTCGAACAAGATTCAATTAAAACAAGATTTTTACAGCTGAAAAAATAAATAATATGTTGCAGTCAAAACCAGTTTTTAGTTAAGACGCGTTATAACTAGTTGAAAATAGTTTATACTGGATGTCTTTGTTACATCTAGAATTTCCTAGTTATAAATAGAATTTACTGCTGTGCATGTTTGGATTTTAGATAAAACTAGTTTTAACTTTGAACATTAGTTAAAACTAATTTTAGCTACATAAATAGGTTTGGGGGAAATAAATAAAGTCACGATTGGGATTAAAACATTTGTATTCTTTAATAGAATATTTATTGGAAATATTGACTATACATATGTGTTATTAAAATTAATTAAAGCGATACGAAATTAATCATACACTATAGGAATATTTTTAAGGAAAATCACAGAGCCATGTCGGCAATATTAACTCTAAAACAACATCAGTAATATTAATTAAAGTCATACAAAAATAATCATTCAATAAAGGAATATAAATATAAAAATCAAGTCTACATTACTTGTTATTGTGAGGCAAACTATCGTGGCAATTCGAGTTACACAAGTTGCTTTTTTTCTTACAAAAGTGCATCTTCGACATACACGCCTTCTTACACAAACAGCGAACAAATCCTTGGCCTGTTCTTAAGGCTGCTCTCTTGGCAGCAGTTCTTAAAGATACATTTGTCTCTGGCATTCCTTTTAGTATCAAGAATTTTTCTTTGGACGTGTCGAATTCTGACCTGATCAAGTACATTTAAGTTTTCAAATAGGTTCATACTTATTTTAAATCAAATCTTTAATTACTAATAATTATGGTAAATTGTGCCCAAAAAAGAAAACAATTTTTTTCATAATAATTAGACTTCAAAATATTAATGAATTAACTGCATAGTTAGATACATTAAACAGTAGCACAATTGAACAATACATACTTGCAATACAATTTATCGAGTATCCCATATTTTGTTCCAAATTTATGCAAACCTTGTTCATCCTTTTGAAGAATCACTCCGATAATATTACGGAGATCTGCTTTTACTCTGTCGATATCAGGGATTGGTATAATTATATTATCACTGATTTCTATGGAAGCATGTATTGAATCTGAAGCCAATTTCATTCTCTGGGCCTGTTATTCCAAGTTTAGATGAGCTTTTTCTCTGGCTGCTATCATTTGGGTCTGTCCATTCGCATTAGCTTCAGATTCTTCGTCACTAGCTGGTATTATTTGAGGTTCTGCATTCATACTAGCTGCAGTTTCTGAATCTTCTTGACTGGCTACTATTGTAATTAGAGACTGTAAACGTTATCACTTGTTAGCTGAATAAACTTTAACCTCGGTCGAAATAGTTTTTACTAAGCCATTTTGTAAAAACCTGTTTAGTCTAGTTAAAACTAGTTTTAACTCAAATTCATTTTTGACTAGCAGTAAATTCTAGTTATAACAGAGACATCCAGTATAAACTAGTTTCAACTAGTTAAAATGCATCCTAACTAAAAACTGGTTTTGACTGCAACATATATACATTTTAATTATATATGCTATGCATATTTTTCTGTATATTCACATTCCTAATGATAATTTGATGTCTTTATAATTATATCCATCACTTTATAATGACAGGCTTAAAATATAATATGGTCACCAGCATGAAATTTTGTACAGAGGATTTCCCAAATTCTTCAACTGTGTTACAATGAAACCGGAAATTGTGCATCAGAAATGTACAGGGATACCTGTAATTGTATTTTAATTCTTTAGTTAAAAAAGCAAAAGTATATCTTTTATTCTGAACAGGAAGAATTTATTAATTCATTATGGAAAGGTCACAAGAAATAAAGAATTAAAGTAGAAATATCTTCAAATATATTGGCATATTTTTGGAAATATAATTTTTAAAAATTCATAATGCACATTTTCACAATTCACATTTAAATAACTTTTTTATTTTTCTCATAAAAATTGTTTTGTTTTGGTATTGACAAATTCAGATAAGTTTTTAAACAGTTTGAATGATTCCAAGTATTTGTTGCACATTTTATTCCACAAGTTATTCATTCCACATTTGTTCTGTAATTATTTGCTTCTAACAAGTTGCTTCTAAAATTGAAATTTATAGAATTAAAATATGTTGAATATGTGTATATTATTTGCTATTTCATTTTTAATAAGAAATCATTTATGTTGATTATTTCTCTTAAGTATAAAAAATGAAAAAAGAGAGCCTATTTTATTCAAAAGAAAAAAATTATAAAATAAAAGCTGGATATTTAATTTAAATGTAACTGTATAAAATCATAATTTATTCAGTTTAGAAATTTATTAATAGATTTAAGATATTCTTAAGTGAATTTTAAAACCTTTATCATTTTATTTTAGATACAAACTTCTCTAGAAACTTTAGCTCATATTCATGACAGAAGAAAAGAGTTACAGAATCCAACTTCTCAACTTCTGAAATCACTGGTAAGATTAATAAATTTCTAATAAATGTATCTTATTCAGTTGTTCTCACTCTTTTTAAGCTTGTGTCATACTTAAGAAATCATATTTAAGTTGTGGTATACTTTATTATTAAATATTACAGGACTAATCAATAGGTTTTTTTTACATTTAATAATAAAGTGTGCTGCAACTTTTGCAGGATTTTGCAAGTGTGAAACTAACATTGTGGTTGACTGGAAATTAAAGTGATAAAATCATTTTTTATATTATCATAAATATTCATAGAAATGGAATCAGGCCAGTAAGAAAGTCCCAGTTCATTTTCATTTCTGTCAATATTTCATTGCATTTTTCATATTTAGAATTGAGGTTTCTAAAGAAGAGTTTGCAGGCTGCATAAGTCAGTGTTGAAATTTTGATGAAAAGCAAGAATTTTCTCTTTCTTCTTATTTACTTAGAAACACTCACACAAATAATTTTTTCTTGTATGCTTATCATTTAAGTTAGTAATTGTCACTGCAATTAATTTATAATTAAGCAATGTCTAATTAAAAATAACTTACATTAAGTTACTCATATCAAGATAGTTTCAATAATAATCTTTTTGATACTATAATTTATTATATTTACTACACAAAAATGACATAGCTGTTTCCAGTCACTTGGTAAAGGAAAATTTTTGTTCTTATAATGTGATAGAAGAAAGAAATACAGGTAACCCCCATATAACATGGGAGTTATGTTCCAAAAAATTGCCATGTTATGCGAATCCGTGTTATACAAAACAAAGAACTAGTATGAAAAGGGGATTAGGTTCCAAAAATTAAAAAACATGCTATTATATATTCATAATTAAGATAAATATCTTTTTAATCATCGAAGACAAGTCTGTCCAAAAAGAAAAATTAACAAAAAGAAATTTTAAATGTACCATCGCCAGTGGGCAGCTTCAAAAATTCTACATATTCCAGCGCTTGTTTTAGTAGCTATAAAGCAGAACCACCCCATTGGCCAAATGCATGAAGAGTAAGACATCTGTGTGTCGCCGATTCCTTATAATTGGATGTTTGTGTTTTTTAAAGGGCTTTTTTTACCTCTGGGGGCATGAAGCCTAAAAAGGAAGGCCTGTCACTATGGATGTGTATGCGTAAAGTGGAATACAAAATAAATGGTGGTCCCTTTTGGACAGACTTGTCTTTGATGATTAATAATAATCTCGCCATCGGATGGAAAAATTAACACAGAAATAAATAAATATCTTTATTAAAATTTTCTTAAGTGATACATATTATAGAAAATTAATCATGCAACCAAAGGAACATTTGACAGGAATATTCTATTAATAGATTTATATTGAAATCACAGACATAACATGATTTTCTGTCTCAATATAATTTGTTTTCTATGATACCTTGTTGGTACAAATTTCTGAAATGTAGTGCTAATGAATGCAAGTGTAGTTTCTTATTTTTACAGATTTTTAAAAATTTTTAATTTTAATTTGTTAATTCACTGTGCTGCATACTTAAAATGAATTGACACCACTTGAGAACCACTGAACTAAATCAGAAACTAAGTTTATAAATCCTATTATTTGTGACACTAAACTTATTTAAATTTGAAATATTATGTTTGATGGAAATTTCTAGTGTTCACAGTAATATGAATTGAGTTGCATGTGCAGCAAGAATGTAGATTCAACAACTCAACATGATAACTTGCTGAAATTTTAAGCAAGTTGTTGAATAACTCACCTTGCATGGAAATTTGAAGAATTATAGTATATTATATGCATTCATGGCTCATTAATTTTAGTGCAACTCCAGTGGGACTGCATGTAAGGATTGGCATTAATCATTAGTTGATGTTAAAGAGTATGCAATTTTGGTCTCAGAGAAAGTACAACTTTCTCTGAGGCCAAAATTCTTTCATATAATATACTTATTACTTGATAATACTTTTTAAACCCTATTGAAAAGGTAGCCAAAAATATGAAAAATTTAAACATTTTGAATACAAAAATCAGCTAAATTTACTTATATTTTGTTGAAACTTTATGAAAGCAGTAATAATTTTGGCAAGTCAAAAGAAGGTTAACAATAATCGATATTGCTTAGTTCACTATGTATATACTTCAGATTATAAAAAAAGGTTAAAGATGATCGTTGTGTCAGGATATTACTTCACTCATGATAAAGATGCAAAATATGTTACTGTAGTTAGACTGAAGCAGCAAGGATGTATGTGCTATATATGAAGAATGGATATTTGTCACATACTATGACAAGTGCTTTATTCACCAAAGTACTATATATTGAAAATTATTGTATCACATATCTTCATTGCTTATTAGTTGAAGCTATTAAAATCTTAAACTTTTCCATTTCTAAGTATTCTAAGCTTACTTTCTGATTAAGTTCTTTTTATAATGATTAATCATTATAAAAATAACTTTGAATGTGTACAGATTAAAAATATTTGAGAAATTTTATAATTTATTTTTCATGCAGAAACACACTTAATTGAAATACAGTATTAAAATAATACATGAAATATGGCAATTAAGTTCTAGGAGTCCATTTCATAGGAACAAACTTTATTGTGACCAAGATGGCTGATTAAATTAATTGTTTTCTGTATAAGCATGTCCATATCTTGTTTATTATTTACATATAGTCATNGACTATACACATACACATTCATGGCGACAGGCCTTCCTTTTTAGGCTTCATGCTGCCAGAGATAAAAAAAAGTCGTTTTAAAAACACAAACATCCAATTAAAAGGAATCGGTGACACACAGACGTCTTACTCTTCATCCATCTGGCCAATGGGGTGGTTCTGCTTTATATCTACTAACACAAGCATTCGAATATGTAGATGTTTTGAAGCTGCCCCCCCCGGCAACAATACATTTAAAATTTCTTTTTGTTAATTTTTCCATCCAATGGTGAGATTATTATTAATCATTGAAGTCCAAAAAGAAAAATTAACAAAAAGAAATTTTAAATGTAATGTCATCAGGAGGGCAGCTTCAAAAAATCTACATATTCCAATGCTTGTTTTAGTAGATATAAAGCAGAACCACCCCTTTGGCCAAATGGATGAAGAGTAAGACGTCTGTGTGTCACCGATTCCTTTTAATTGGATGTTTGTGTTTTTTAAAGGGTTTTTTTTTTTTACCTCTGGCGGCATGAAGCCTAAAAAGGAAGGCCTGTCACCACGGATGTGTATGTGTAAAGTCTGGAATACAAAATAAATGGTGGTCCCTTTTGGACAGACTTGTCTTTGATGATTAATAATAATCTCACCATTGGATGGAAAAATTAACAAAAAATAAATAAATATCTTTATTAAAATTTTCTTAAGTGATACATATTATAGAAAATTAATCATGCAACCAAAGGAACATTTGACAGGAATCTTCTATTAATAGATTGATATTGAAATCAGACATAACATGATTTTCTGTCTCAATATAATTTGTTTTCTATGATACCTTGTTGGTACAAATTTCTGAAATGTAGTGCTAATGAATGCAAGTGTAGTTTCTTATTTTTACAGATTTTTAAAAATTTTTAATTTTAATTTGTTAATTCACTGTGCTGCATACTTAAAATGAATTGACACCACTTGAGAACCACTGAACTAAATCAGAAACTAAGTTTATAAATCCTATTATTTGTGACACTAAACTTATTTAAATTTGAAATATTGTGTTTGATGGAAATTTCTAGTGTTCACAGTAATATGAATTGAGTTGCATGTGCAGCAAGAATGTAGATTTAACAAGTCAACATGATAACTTGCTGAAATTTTAAGCAAGTTGTTGAATAACTCACCTTGCATGGAAATTTGAAGAATTATAGTATATTATATGCATTCATGTCTCATTAATTTTAGTGCAACTCCAGTGGGACTGCATGTAAGGATTGGCATTAATCATTAGTTGATGTTAAAGAGTATGCAATTTTGGTCTCAGAGAAAGTACAACTTTCTCTGAGGCCAAAATTCTTTCATATAATATACTTATTACTTGATAATACTTTTTAAACCCTATTGAAAAGGTAGCCAAAAATATGAAAAATTTAAACATTTTGAATACAAAAATCAGCTAAATTTACTTATATTTTGTTGAAACTTTATGAAAGCAGTAATAATTTTGGCAAGTCAAAAGAAGGTTAACAATAATCGATATTGCTTAGTTCACTATGTATATACTTCAGATTATAAAAAAAGGTTAAAGATGATCGTTGTGTCAGGATATTACTTCACTCATGATAAAGATGCAAAATATGTTACTGTAGTTAGACTGAAGCAGCAAGGATGTATGTGCTATATATGAAGAATGGATATTTGTCACATACTATGACAAGTGCTTTATTCACCAAAGTACTATATATTGAAAATTATTGTATCACATATCTTCATTGCTTATTAGTTGAAGCTATTAAAATCTTAAACTTTTCCATTTCTAAGTATTCTAAGCTTACTTTCTGATTAAGTTCTTTTTATAATGATTAATCATTATAAAAATAACTTTGAATGTGTACAGATTAAAAATATTTGAGAAATTTTATAATTTATTTTTCATGCAGAAACACACTTAATTGAAATACAGTATTAAAATAATACATGAAATATGGCAATTAAGTTCTAGGAGTCCATTTCATAGGAACAAACTTTATTGTGACCAAGATGGCTGATTAAATTAATTGTTTTCTGTATAAGCATGTCCATATCTTGTTTATTATTTACATATAGTCATGTTAAAGACTTTAAATTGTACAAATTATTGTAGTGATAAAGGAAAGTAATAATAATAATAATAATTAAAGAAAAATTTGTTGTATAGATGTTATTACATGGGAATCTAAAATAAAAAAATATATATATTATTTTCTTGACATTAAAATTATCTCATTCCCCAAAATATTATTAATCTGTTCTAAATTGCTATCATAATAGCACTAATATGAAAACACTTGCACAAAGAATATAAGCGACAACTTTGCTTAAATAAGAAGAAACTATTATATTTTTAATTTTCATTCATAAAATTGTTTATCACATTTTCATAAGTTGTTGTTGCCATAATAATATTATATTATTATTAAAAATACTAACATTAAGTTTTCTTTTACATTGAACTTTTTCAATAGTCATATACTTGTACTAAATTTATCAATATCAAATTTGTTGCAAAATACATAAGTTCTTCAAATTCACACAACTGGAAGAGTATATATATATTTATTTTTCTCAATGCATATTTAAATAATTATAAAATTAATGTGTAAAAAATAATTGAATAGTTAAGAGTAATAAAGCAGTTCCACTGCAAAATTTTGTTTGGAGAACATACACTATATTATTTTTAAAAAACTCAAGGTTTTTGTATAATTGAAAAAATGAGTCTTTTTAAGATTTATTATTATTAAAAATACTCCTTATTACCCAGAAATATACTAAAAAATATGATAAATGAGCTATCTTATAACTTTGACATAATTTATTTTATTGAAAATATTAATGTTTTCTACATTATTTTAAGAGTAATAAAGAAAATATGTTTCCAATGAAATTTATAAGACTAAATTTTTATATGGATTTTTATTCTGTAATATTTGTTTATGTTAATATGATAGAATCACAACATGAATTTGTTTAACTATTAAAAGTATTTCATATTAATATTTGAATTAGCAAACTTTAATTAAGTTTAATTATCAGTTCCTAATTTCTTTCTTTAATCAAACATGTTTTGTACATGTTAATCACATATTAACAATATATTAATAATTGTAGTACTTCACATGTTTTTAATATAAAATTACATTTGTTCAATTTTATATAAAATATAAAATATACGTAAATAAAATATTTATTATTTACACTTTTTAGAGCCCTAATGAATCAAATGTATCTTCAACAAATTTCCAAAACACGCAGAACGTTCTAGCTCGGACATCTTTCAAACTTCCAGGTAAGAATATAACATAATTTATATTTTAAACTTTGTGCTAATGTAGTTCATTTAAATCAGGAGTTTCTATCCTGGTCTCTAGTAACCCTGATAGGTCAATTGAGAGAGCCTACAAATCTCTAATAAATATTTGGAGGATATTGGACAAATTTACTTATATTTTAATATAAATAAATTTCTCCAATTAGATAATAATTAATATATCTAAATTCAAAATAAAGCAAAACACAATTTTGAATTTTGATTCATGTTTAGTGAAAATTAACAATTCTTATTAAGCATAAAAATCATCTTGATTTTTTTTATTTCATCCTGTTTTAATTTATTCTTTTTTTGTATCAGTATAAGAGATCAGTGAATTAAATCTATGTTTGGAAAGGGATCAAATAGCAAGAAAAGTTGGAAACTCCTGATCAAAATGATATTGAGAAACAAGGCAATAAATGAACTAACATGTTGAAAGTAATACACTGTTTTTAACATATTCAACAGATAATTTAGTATAACTGTTAAATCTTCTTTCTTGTTATAAAGAATTTATAAAACATTCACATATTCAGAGTTTTGCTTTTTATAATTCTTTCTCATCAATTTGAAATGAAATAAATTCAAAAATATTTTATAGGTCAAAACATAAAATAAATACAGCTGTTTGATTTGAATAGGTATGATTAAAAACTTAAGTACAGTAAACCTCTGCTAACTCAAATTTTTTGAAACAGTAATTTAAAAATTTTTTGGCAATTGAAAAATTGTAATTAATAAGTGTTTTTGATATATTTGCAATACTGTGCATTATATCACTGTAGTCAGTAAGTAATGTAACGAAAGATTATACATTGTTGTATACTGTACTATCATAAAATTTTTTTGAGCTAATTTCTTGTAATAATAAATTCAGTAGTATAATGATTGTGTAGTATATCCATATTCATCAGAAAAATCACCATGTTAACTTTCAAGTTAGACAATCTTCATACTATATTAGTCTGAATTAGTGGGGGTTTACTGTATTTATTTTAACAAATTATTTGTGACTAGTGCTCTTTAATTTACCATAAATAAAATTAACTTGAAAAATACTCAATTAATATACAATTAATTCAGATGATTCCACAATTCCAGATGATCTTAAAAGTTACAGATTATATATCATATTGATAGTGGCTATACTTGAAAACTTGAATGTTTTATCAGTGTTTAAATAATATTCTAATGATTTTGTTGGAATTAACTGTATGCCATCGTTTATCACACATAATGAATATTAAAATTTCTGAAATTTGAACTATATGATAAACAAAAGAAATATTTTTTCTAGAAATAATGTTGGTTTTAAAATGATGTCTAAATATTTCCAGAATGAAAATGCTATATATCTCCTGCCAGAGTCATCAAGCACAGAAATATAATCTAAAATTTTTTGCATTTTGATCATTGCATATTAGTTCTTTTCTTTAAATATAGATATTACATTTATTTTTTGTACAACACAGTTTCACTCTAACAGAATTTGGGAATTGGAGACATCTCAGTACAAAATGTCACAATTTTTAAGTGCAAACACTGTCATTTAATTTTTTTTTATTCAAGCAGGCACACATATTGTCTCATATTTGCTCATGGATTTTAGAATGTTGAAATTTTTAATGTTTTGTGCCTTTTGCCCAGTTTTCTTTAATGAGAACTGATTGTACAACTTTTCTTCCTTGTCCTTGCTTTCTATTCTATTGATAGCTTTCCTATAAACTCTGATTTATAGGAAAGTTAGCTGTTGGTGATAGTGATCTAAATGAATCCAAAAGACTGTTGCTATGTTTTGTTTTTATATATTAAATTAAAAATTACTACAGAAAAAAACAAAATTTTTAAACATCTTCTAGGCAAATTCAAGCACATGATAATATCAGATTTTATGAACAAAGTAGATAAAACTCAAGATTACTGATACTTT